CTGCTATCACCAAGAAAACATTCATTCAGATAATAAGGCTGTCTCAAGATACACTGTCTCAAGAGACCTGTGTGTAAATTAGACCAAGCAATAGAAAAAACTCTCAAAAACTAACAAACACACTGGTCAAATACTGCAGACTTTTCAGAAGAGCAGGAATTAAGCAAAATAACATTGAAGGTTTTACAGGAAAATGTGTTTGAGCTGAAGGTTTTCTACCTGATCTTTTAGCCAATCTCTAGAGACTTCATGTCATTATTATTAGATTTACCTTGGGAAGGACATGGACTCTGGTGGTACCACAAATCTTGTGCAGTGAATTCTCCAGGAGCTCCTTCCTACATTAGGCCCCATTTTCCCATCTCCAAAGCCCTGAAAACTCAAACACCCTCATAAGCTGCTGTGAACTGTCCTTTTCCACACTTTCCTTCGCATTTGGGAGCTGTTTCTTCTGACTCAGCATTAAATAGCAGAGAAGGGAAGGACTCGGAATTCAGAGATAGGATGTGTAGAAAGTCATGCGTTCTGATTGTGAAGGGAACCAGTGGTAAATCCTTTCTGTGGTCCCAGATTGGTTCTTCCATTGAAAAACATCAAAATCTGAATTATACAGAGGTTATGTAGCACTATGAGTAAGTACTTTGGCCTTTCATGTCTTATTATGTTGTTAATTAGTTAACGTTTGTAAAGCACTTCGAAGATGAAAAGCCCTATATAAGTTGTAAGTGTTATTATCTCTAGAGACCTAGGTTCAATTCAAAGGTGCTTAATTACATATGCCATAAATTAGACTTAATGAGTTGTGGAATCATATGTTTTATGCAATGCATGCAGGTTTCTCAGATCTCTGTCTTGTGGTCTATTGCAGTACTTCTTTAGGTATTCAAAGCTGTTAAGAAAATTACACAAAAATAGGGGAGATAATTTCTAAAAATAATTGAGTTGCATTTCAGCACTATTCAGGACTTGGTAAAGCAAATTACCAGGAGCTTTGCTCTGCTGTATCTAGGGATTTTCCAGTAACCAACTTCAAATTGCTGAAGGTAACAGTTTTGGGGTTTTTTTAATTGTGGTATAGACAAAATTCTAATTCATACTTCTGTATTTTGCCTTAGCAAGAGGGTACTGAGAGGTATTGGTATGGCTGCTGCCCTTCCAGTAACACCCTGAAATGTCCCATTAGGGGACCTCTCGGTGTTGGGTTATGTTCACAAGCACAAGAAGAGAAGTTCCCATCTCTAGAGATACTATCGTGTAATTTCCAACAAGCCATTACAAGTGGGTAATGTGCAAAAAGAGGAAGTCACATTTATAGGAAAATGTGGTTTCATTGGCTTTGCAAAGCTGAGACTTTCCATGTTATGTAACTTAACATATTTTGTGGCCAGAAAGCTACAGACTTTGCTCCCCTGCAGCCCCGGCACCAGAGCAGCTGTCCAGCGGCGAGCACAGGCGGAGTTCAGAGACACAGAAAACCAGCAGGATCATTCACCTGTTCTAAAGTGGCTCCCGTGTGTTCCTGCAGCAGAATATATCTATTTTACCTCAAGCCTTTCACAGGCATATAGAGAGAGGCAGGATTTATCCTGCTTATAAATATGTTAGGAGTGATTGTGTTCATTAGTACAACCTAAGTAGATTGGAAAAACTAATTAATAGCTATTTACTATGAGCGTCTCTAACAGACTCACTTCAAAGTATTTATCCTGAAGTGGAAGTTATTTGATTTGGTTAATGTTTTATTGTAAGCATATGCAGACTGTCTTCCAGGGGAAAATGTATTTTTGAGTACTCCAGACAAGTGAAACTGGTGAGCCCGCAGTCCAGAGAAAGCATCTGTAACCGCAGCCAAAAGAGGAACGAGGTTTCCGACATTCTTTCAAGCCATGTGTTTGAAGCATGGGTTCCCATCACTTTCAGAGTCACTTGCAGGCCTTTTTCTTTATATAGATTTAGACAAGTCGATGTGGGCCCAGATTCAGCGTGATGAATGCCTTGTGGTTTCTCCCTCGTCCGTTTTCCCCTGTGCTATTTTATCGCTTATTTTGAACAGGAGTATGTTCTCAAGAAACTTGAAATGGGACAAAGCATAGTTTCTGACAGTGTTTATCACTCATTTTTCATATTTCTAAGAAATGGATCTAGTCTTACACCTGATTTACTGGGGCACATCTCCTTCAAAAGCAAGATATAGTTTTGCTGAATACTTTTCATATACTCTAATAAATAGGAACTTCACATGAATGCTGATTTGAGCTCCAGGCCATGGTTAAAACATATAAATAGTATGGCAAACTTATCAACAAACTTTTCCTTCCCCACCCTTCCCCCTTCCCTTTTTACAGTGAACAGATTTTTATCTGACTAGCACATGACTTGGGGATTTTTACAAGCAGGTTTAGGAACTTGTCAAATATTTGAAAACTTGAGTCTGAAAATAAACCCCCCCAACTTAAAACTCCAGTATTTTGTACAGTGTGTACAAAATGGGTAAAATTTTGACTTGCTGAAGTACCTACAGGATTCTATTCTCTGACCTAATTATCACTACTTAACTAGGAGTTTGATTCCTATTTTCAATACTCCAAGACACCACATATACTGGTGTAACTCATCGAGGTACCAAATCAGTGGACCTATAAGACACTCTTTGTTTCTAAACTCCTGTAGTCTTTTGTCAAAAGGTGACAAGAATATTCATGTTGTTTTTAATTTTATCTTGGTATTTCAAGTCTGTCTCCTTTCCTCCTCTGCTTCCAAGATGTTAGTGACATACTCTGGCAGTGATATCACTGTTGCTCAAACATCAGTGAAGAAGCTCTCTGAGCAAGTGAGACAGTTGTGAGCTTGAGCAGCTGCACTGAACTGCGTGTTCCAGAGATGTGAGGCAGCAGGAACGACTGTACAACACTGTGAGAGCGCTTTTATACAGCCAGGCCTCCAACTCTGACCAACTGCTGATGGCTCATAAGAGTGCTCTTTGGGAAAACAATTCCTGGGCTACAAAAAGTGTGTATGGAGAAACAGTTTGGTAAATTAATAGCCAGGAAAGAACTTCTGGTCACTCGATCATTATGTCTGGTGACCCAGTTAGGACTTTCACAAAAACAGTTGCCATCCCTTTGGCTTGTGACTTCCCTGATCATTTTCCTGTTTTAAGTCCCTAATTTAACAAAGCACTGATCTCTCTCTCTCTCTGAGAGTCTTTGACTGTGGAAACATAGCCCATGAGGTCTGGAAGACTTCTGGATCATTATTGCCACCGACTTCCTCTCTCTGTGAGCAAAGAGTTATCAGAGGTCAGCTGCAGAATGGAAAGTGTGGCAGTAAATTGTGAGGTAAGCCCAGATTTTATACTGATGTGTCTTTATGCCAGAGTGGATGAAGAGCATCCACCCCTTCTGACAGAATATGGCAGATATACGTGAGTCATCATAAACTCCTGTTATTTCAGTGGACCTGTGGATTTTGTGTCAGCAGACCTGACAAGTTTACTAATGGTCTGCTGCATGATTCTTGAATTCCTTTCTCTCTACAGTCAAGATGAGTTGCAGAAAGGAAGAAAATCACACACAAAATGCAGAAAAAAAACCTAAAGACTTGCTGGTTGATTAAACTGTTGGTCTTAGCAGACCTTAAAAATTACTAGGATTGTTGTTGTGATATGTTTTAAATGTTAAACCCATGTAAAGCTTTTAAAAATCATACCAATTAATTTATGTTGTTCAGTATTACTGTAATATCTATTACCAAGCTGGGAGGAACAGTTAAATCCGAAAACATTGAGAATTAGGTTCACAGATATTCAAATCCAGGAGTAGCATTATGACACCAAATATTTTAGTCTCTTGCACAGACCTAAATATTACTTCAGCAAGAAGCTCTGTCCTCTGTTGTTGAACAAGAGCATGCCTCAGTTTAACTCTCAGTTCAGTAAAACATTTCTATTCTGAATGATACTTGAGCTGAAGTTCAGACATGTCTGCAAGTCCATTGTATTTGATGTCTGAGGTTAATGAGGTTAACAACAGGCTGAAGTGTTGTCCTGAACCAGTTTGATTTGACAATATGTAACAAAGTACATGTGCACACCAACACTTCTATTTTTACGTTTCCTCAGGATATAGGCAATGAAATTATTTAATAAGTATTCATAAGGAAATCTGCTTCATTATGACTAAGTGTTTATAGTTAAGCCTAAACTTAGTTCTGCACTAGGTGTTGACTGAAATTTTCACTGAAGTAGGAGCACAGTCCATGACTATATGCATCCAGCAAGACAGATTTATTAATTGAGGTGGTCAAGTCACACTGTTGCCTGACAAAGGATATCAGAAAGCTTTTAGACTTAAAAATGAACAACTCCATAAAGCTGGAGTTTGTCATGGAAACATCATCACACCAACTAATTGGTGTTATTCGTTCACCCCATTAGAGTAATTATTTGTAATTGTTATTATTGTAGCATATGTCCAGCACTTAAGCAGTGCCTATTACTGGGAAGAGCTGGATCATTCATCAGAGAAACGGAGAAATTGAGTTGAAAATGTCAAATCAGGCAGGCAGATGGAATTATCTCATGTGGTATTTGTTTTTTAACAGATTTTTTTTTCTCTTGCTTCCTCATACAGGCAAACAGGGAAGCAAATGACCACTATCTCCCAGTTTCACAAGAAAAAAGTCAGAAATACCATAACCACTGAAAGGCATCTTGAATAAAGAAACACTTCGGTGGATCCTGTGTTCAGGAGTGAGTTCAGTTTCTCTGACACTGAAAGGTACCTTTGACCCAGCAAGGCTCCCCTGAGCTCTGAGCTCTGGACCTGTGTCACTGAGAGAGGTAGAAGCAGCCAATGAGTCACCATTGAGCAGAGTAAATCCACAGATAACCACTGTATGTACCCTTCTAGTAGAAAAAAATAGGGGTACATACAGAAAATCTATCACAATTCTGTTTTTTCAGAACCCCAAGTCCTGCAGAATTGGTTTGGATTAAGAGGGAGGAAAAGGAGAGGACTCCTGGTAAAATATCAGGTAATTTTTTCTCTCCTTTCATTAACATGGTCATAATTAATGAGGAAACTGATTCTAAAACTGTTCTTAAAAATAGATCATATCAGCTGTATATTTCCATTGATGATTTCCCTTGCATTGATAATGTGATTCATATTAATGTGATTTAAGAGTCAGAATTAAAAAGTATTCAAAACCTGCAGTTGTTTCATCTCAATTTCTGAGATTCTGAGGTCCATTGAAACTTTGCTCGTAATTACCCAATATTATGAAAAAATATTCCTTCATTTTTACAATAATTTGCTTACGGTTGGCTTTATAATATCCTTTAAAAAAATTTGATGTTACACCCATCTGCATGTGCTTAAGCTCAGTCTGCTAAAATGTACTGCTTGAGCTCATGACGAAAGCTACAATTGTTTGCCTGCACAATACAAAAGGAAATAAAATGAAGGGTTCAGAATGGACTGTTGCAAATCAAGAGTTCAAAATCTCAGTTAAACTGCTTTTTGTTCAGTATATTTTATTACAAGAAGAGACACTTATCACGGATATTTGGGATATTTGGCAGCAAAATCGTAATACTGAATGTTTGGATGATGATGAAGCAGCATTATTGTCTTCCAGGGCCACTAAAGTGGAAGTTTCCATTTACATCAATTTTTTAAAATGGGAGGGTTTGGGTCTTTTTCTGACAGAGATCTCGAACAGATAAGTTAAGCCTATTAGCCTGAATGTGACAGTTAATATGCTGATGTAAGAACGTACTTAAAGCCAAGAGCTCTTGGCTAGGCATTTTAACTCATTAAAGGAGAAATAAATGTCAAAGTGAAGAAGGTAAAATTGTAATACAAAATCTATTAATATAATAAAGCATACTGAAGATATTGCCTATCTGTTATTTGTTACTAAATGGGTTGATATACATTTCTGTAATTAATAAAAATGTTATCTATAAGAAAATATTCTGTTCCCTTTCTTACACTGAAGGAATTTTATATAAAATAGATAGAAATTGCTCTTTTATTGTTCCAATCCTAAAATCAGTGTCCAATGAATAGCAATTCATGTAGTCCTATGACCTGACATCATATGTCCAAGCAACTTGTGGGAAATAAAGGAAAGAGCTTTTTAAAGGCGAGGTGAGAGAGGTTACAATCTGTAAAAAGCTAATTAAAGTATTTTTTAAAAATTGTATTCCTTAAGATCTTTCATTAAAAAACAAGCTCGATGTAAAATAAAATACGCTAAGAGGGTGCTGATGTCACTGCAGTAGCAGTAGTCCGAGTGTGGACTGAATACTGCTTTAGTGATTTGGATATTTTGATATGGTTTGGCAAACGAAAACATTCTTACTATTAGTCATTTTTAGTTTCTGGATTTGCATATATGTATTATATCTGTTATATTAATTATATCTATTTTCACAGGTACAGACAGACATACCCTAGTCTTGTGGCACCCATGAATAGATCCAGTGAGCCTGTGCAGCTGTGTTTTGATCAGCAGAGAAGTTTCCTGGCATCCGAGAACTGAAATCACCTTTTGGGTATGACAAGTGCATCTAAGTATGTAGCAAGTGAAAATCAAGGGTTTCTGTAAGGAAGGAGTAAGAACACCTACCACAAAAATTAAAAGTAAAATAACCTTTAATAATAGCAACAATGCAAACCCCGTTCTATGTATTGCTCTCGGTGTTTAGCCATCCATCATTTGCTGGCTCATAAAGCTGATTTGTGCTCTTCCCTCCCCTCCCTGTTTCCAGGAGCTGTTGGCCTCTTTTCACCACTCCTTTCCCATAGGCACATACAACTGAGACCCAAACACTCTTTTGTCTTTTCCTCAGAAACTCTGTTTTTTAACACATGGGGGAGAGGAGGAGTTTTGTGAGCAGCTTTCTTTCTTCTTCATTGTGCAATGCCACTTATAAACTCTGTCGATAGACACTTGGAAGGTATCTAAAACGTTAGACAAAGAAACAGGTATAATTCAGAGGAAAACTGACCTTGATTGAATAGGGTCAAAATGCTTCAACCACGTCTTTCATTTGAGACCTCCTCATTTACGAGACTCAGACTTCTTTCATTGTAGCTTAGGGCTGACAAATATATGTGGGATCCGTGTTAGTTCCAACGATTAAGAAGTGTTAAGGAAACTACCCAGTCTGACCATTCAGGAGACTGGCAGCCACGCTCCCGAGGCCAGACTCTTGCACTCCTGGGATGAAGCTCCTTCACCGCAGCGGCTCCCGTGACTCCACGGGTCCCGCTTGGCCCCCCACGCACCCCACTCACAGTCAGACCAGGTTTCCTTACCGGTTCGACCCCAGGTTTCCCATTACAGTTTCAGATGTCTAGTTCCATAAAACCATTTATTCACGGCGCAGTGACACAGAAACAGTCCGAGCCGGTGCCTCCGAGGAGGACCCTCAACCAAGGGACCCCTGGGCTTTTATACCTTTTATACCCTCATACTCTCCCCGTGCGCAAGTCTCGCTCTTCCTCCCGAGTCTTCGGCTCCTGCCCCACCTCCCCGTGTCCATCCACCTCGCTGGCATCACCCGTCTTCATCTCCTTTGTTATCCAAAAGGTCGGCAATTCCCGGCTCCTGCTGTGTCTCTCAGTGTCCATTCACCTGGCTGGCGTCACCCATCTCTGTCCCTTTGTTATCCCCAAGGCGGGCAGTTCACGGCCTCTTGTCTCGGGCTCCCACCCAGAGCTCGATCTGCATTTCACTCTGCATCTCAATCCGCAGTTTGCAAGCGCAGCTACCTTGAGAAGTATTGCTCAACAGTAGTTCAGCTAGATTTGGTGAATTCTGTGACTAACCAAACTCTTTGTGGAGAGCACACAACAACTTCTCACCCCAAGGAGTTGTAGCATTCAAATTGTTGAGAGCACTAAAATTAATTTTAGTGAAATCCTGTTTGGGTATTCCCCAGGTATTAGCACCTAGCAGATGAGCTAAAGCCCCAGTTTCCCAATTCCCAGGTGTAATTGTGTATGTTAATTAAACTCCTGAGGAAACATAAAAAACTACTGAGCTCCAAATTATGTGTCTAAGAATTAGAATTTTCATCTGGGCGTTTAGGAATTTAAGGCCGTTCTTAGAAACATTTAAAGGCTGTAAGACATCAAAGGGTTTTGAACAAAATACTTGTGGTCATTTCCAGACTTGGTCAGTACAGATAGTTCTTGAGCTTCCTGGTGCAATCTGTTATCCCAGGCCCTTTTTGTTAAGTAGGCTAAGAATGGAGATTTACCAAAATATTTGATGAAGTTTTATATAGACTGTGTTCCAAGCATTTGTTTGCTACGTTATGCATCTCTTTAACCAAATGTTGTTTGTTGTTATGGAAACTCCTACTAATGAGAGCTCTTTGACCCATGAAATCATTAACCAACCAACAAAGTTTGGAGCTTTCAAGTAATTCTCAGTATTTCTGTTTTGATACTTTAAAACAGCATCTTTCTCGCTGTCCAAAATCACAGGTGGCACAGGCCTGACTCTCCTTCTCATCACTAAGGATGTTTTATATCACACCAGCAGTAAAAAGGGATCTGCAAAAAGTGTAGATGTAATTAGAAGCCCTTTAATATCCTTTTACACTATTGGAGTAGCAGAGAGTAGTATCCTTATCCCTTTTGGCTTTTTGCTGGAAAGTGCTTCAGCTAGGACTGATGTGGATTGGGAACTGGGAATTCCTCCTCTCCTGTTCCTGAACTGCTGAAGAACAGCTACACCAATACACTTAGCACGAGCACGTTTCTTCACATTTATCTTAGGTTAGCACTTTCCTTTATTTAACTGTCTCTGATCTGACTATATCTGATCATTCCTTCATCTCATTTTCACTTAACCTTTTGCCCTCCACACAGACTAAGCATCCTATCGGGTATCGCCCAAGGGACCTTCTTTTCCCCTCCACTCCCCCTTCCTCCACTCTTTCTCCAATTTAGGTGCTTTATGCCATTCCTGGTAATTTACCTGATTACATGGAAGGAGTTGTAGATCTTTTTATAATTGCTGTTTTACTTAAAACATTGATTCTTCAGCTCCTGCCTGTTTTCAGGTCATCACACCTCACTGGAGGTTTCCCTGGCTTAATGAGCAACTCTGAAACCAGAGAAAGTATCAGATGATGGAGGGTATTGTACATTCTTATATTTGAAAGCCACTCCATAGCATCCACAAGAGGATTCTTGGCACCTGCCTAGTTAAACTGAATGTCCAATGTTATCTCTCCAGGCAAGTAAGATTCTGGCAATCACTGTAGTCCTATTTCAGTCGTTCTCAGTCTTTTTGACACCAACACATTAATTCTCCCAAGCTTCTTTGGCAGCTGTAAGGAGTTCTCTCTCTTTTTTTTTTTTTAATATGATTGATAATATTGAGTATTTCTTTTAACCTTTTACTGCCATTGCTGGGCTAGGTGATAGTTCCTATGCTCGGATGTTAATCTCCGCTACGCAGTAGCACATCTTCTGATCACCTACTCATCATGGAGCTCATTTATAAAATGCTTCTGCTTAATTTACAAAGTGTAAGAAGCTCCACCTGGAATTAGCCCTACAACATGTCATTCTCCCAATACTCCCACTGTCAAAGGTCACAAAAAGCAAATTGCTTTATGCAGAAACTCCTTCTAGTTTAACACAAGGAATGGCAACCCTTGGACAAAATTTGACTGTATAGTTTCACATGATGCACTGGAAAGAAATACATCCTAGAAAGGGTGCAAATAATGTAGCTTCTCTGATTCAATGCAGGATATGACCCAACTGAAATGTACTGGTAAAAAATGTCATCATTTTCTTCACTTCCAAATTCTCAGAAAAAAAAAAAGGAAAAAAAGGTTGTCTGAGGAGACACAAATATATGAAAACAAAAAGACCTCCCAGGCTGACTTGAAATATGTTCAAATTACACATCTACTCCCTGCTCCCTCGAACCCAGTAAATATTTCTTTGGCCCTACAAAGTGCTGTAGTCTGAACCCAGGAAACCTCAGACTGACCTTGAAAATAAGATTCCTCAATTTTCAAAGTAAATGTCTTGGCCACATTACTGGAGGAGTTGCACTTCTCTGATTGAACATATAAAACTTGTCTCTTTTGGCAAATGGGGTAGATTATACTGTGGGGAACTGGTTGTTTTCCCAATTAACTGACCATAGGCACTTTCAAACTCTCTTTCTCAACTTTTACACCTCAGTACAATGCTGGTGGCAAGGTTAAAATATCTATATTCGGCCATAAGGGGCAGGGTTTAGTCCATGAAAAGCAGTAGAGTGGAGATACACTGACCTACCTCGCTAAGCATCCAGAGCATATCTCCAGAGATTTTGTACTGTCTTCTCCTCGGGTTGTACTGGATAGCTTAACAGCTTTTGATGCTGTAGCATCCTTCCAGCTTACCTTGAATCCAGTTTGAGATTTTAGATTGTCTGGATTTGATTAGCTTTATCAGTTTACTTTCTTCTGATGTTTTTCTCCTCTGCCAGCTGCATTAACCCTTCTTTCACCCAAGACTCACTCCATGGTGGGTGTAATGAAAATACTCTTTTGCAACAGTCTTTGACATCATCTCCTGACAACATCTGACTTATATTCAGGTATAAATTTCCCAGGTCTGGTTATCAGTTCTCTGTGGAAAGGTAGAAGTGGAAGTTCCACAAGGAGTGGAGGATAAGAAAGGTCTCAAATTTCTCTTCTGATGACTGGTCAATGTCTATCAACTGATGCTGAAAATCACTGTGATCGTAGGCTTCCTTTTAATATCAGAGCTGCTTTCAGGACCTGGCCTTCTGTCCAACAGTCTTGTTTAAGACAGACCAAAATAATAAAGATGGACACTTTGATCAGGATCTACCATGTTAATTGAATTAAACCTGACTTTAATTCTAACAAAAAAGCAAATGCAGTATTGAGTGTTAAATAAGGTGATACTTTTTCAAAATGAGCCTTTCCGTTTTTGCTTCAGCTTGAGTTCCTCACTTGAGGCCAACCATAAGTGTTGGAATGCTGTCAGCTAGTGTTTCATGGAGGCTTCTGGTCCAGGGCACCAGTGCAGACATCCAGCTGCCCAAGCTGTGGCCCTTGCATCCTCTCCATGTCCTGCTGGCTCCTGTGTGTGCTCAGGGTTTCATTAGGTTGCAAGTTGTAGCCACGTGGTGCAGATTTAAGAGCTCCACAGGGCTCAGGTAATATCCATACATCTGAGAAGGACAATACTGCTCTACAAACAGAATGAACCTTTGAACTTTGTTAGGGTTTTGATATGACATTAAGCCTCAGATTTATAAAACCAAACCAGAACAAAAAAAAGCGTACTTGCTTTCATTCTGAGTTCTGATTTTGCACTAAATTGTCAGCAAAGCAGACCTTTTACCTATAAACAGATGGCACACAATTCTGTGGGATTTTCCCACATTTGATGAACACACATCAAGTCCATTTACATGAGCATGGAAAATATTAAAATGACTACCAGGTCTGCATAGTGTAAGACACCTGGAGCACATTGCTGCCAGCAAGCTTCTGAGGTGAGGATATTCTGGCACACAGTCGCAGTTCTGGGGACTGGGCCATTTTTGACTCAGGTTATTGCATCTTTTGACACCTAAAGACATGTTGACCTCTGACCCAGAAACATCTGCAACGTCAAACTATAAAATCAGGAATGGAAATGTAGCCTTTTTTCCCCCTTACTGTTATTTTTATTTTCTATTGAAAAGGGTTTTAAAAGGCCTATGAAATGTAAAATTGCTTTTTTGCCATAGTTGCAAAACTCATTTCAGTTTTTATCTGAGATGCACTTGTAGCAAATTTCCAGAGTTGAAAAGCTAATACCACCACCCCACTCTGAGGACTAGAGTCCAAAGCCCTGAGCACCGCCCAGCCTTCACCTCTGGGGGCTTGAGGAAAACGGGGGTCTGTCACAGTGACCAGCCTTGTCCACACTCCTTCCATTCACCCCTACTTTTCTCCAACAGTTTATATTGCCTGCAAAGTTCTTGCATATTCAGACTTTCCTTCCTAAAGTAGCTCTGGCTGATTTTAACTCACCAAGCCCTACCTTTTGCTTCTTCTGTGCTGGCAAAAGTGATAAGTATCTGGGCCGTCATTGCTGCTCCTTTGACACGGCCCATCATGGGAATACCAGCCCTGCTGGTGTCTGCACCAGTGGCTGTAGTTTCTTATACTGTATACTAATGCCAACTGAAGTCTTCCTTTCACCTTTCTTGTTGCTCCTGCAATTCATGTGCATAGATTTTATTTTACGTAATTTTGCCTGGTAACTTCTGCCTGAAAAAACTGAGCTGGGACCTTTCTGTGTGTCAGTGTGGTTTGTAGTAAAATGTGACTGTCTTTGCATAAATGGCACTATAGAAATCCCAAGAATTCTTGTAGTCAATTTTTTGTTTCATTTAACATGAGAGGTAATATATAGGGCAGATCAATATACTATGTTGATAGATGGGTTATTGGTTGAGTTGGCCAAAATTAACACACTTCCCATTTAAAAAAAAAGCCAAACAAAACAACCAAAAAACCAAAAACCAACCAAACAAGAAACTTTGGAAAAGTTTCTCTTTTCTGAGTACAGGCATTTTATGTTAGAGCCTTAGAGCTGATTCTGTCTCTCCCAAGTTATAAACCCTTATGGATGTACCATAAAGATGTCCACCTAATGCAGAGAAAAGCAGATTAATTGATCACAGTAATATATTCTTATCCACTGAATAAGAGCATTCCACACATTGTTTCTTGTTTTGTTTCTGGCTTGTAAATCTTCATTGTAGAATACAAATGAAAATGACCCAAATATGTATTATTTATGAATAGGACTCTCAGATATTATGCTTTAGATTGATTGTGTTAGACAGGATATAACAGAGGCACAATAAGTCAATGAAAAATAAAAAGCGGCAAAAATGTTTCATGCTAAAACTGTAGTTCTAGTGACACCTCTTATATAAAGGACATTTCCAGCACATTGACATTTATATTTATCATGGCTGTGCATGTGATTTACAGTTGTCTAAGGTACTGAATATCAGGAATATCCATGCACATACACACCCCTTTGAATGATGGTAAGTCATAGACTGCTGCATTGCCCCTTATACAGCAAGCTTTTCCTCCCCTTTTTATTTTTCTTCTCTAGCTGCAGGGACGCAGAGGAAGCAGTAGATCAATAGGGTGTCTTGACTGAAGTTGCCTGCAGCACTTCCATTTCTCAGACTGGACACTGATGCTAACTATCAATAGCAATAAGAGGCTGTCTCAGACAGAATTAAGGCTCCTTCTTCTGCATGGCTGTCTGGTGCTTACTGATAAACATCTTGTGCACAGGATTGCAACAAATAAACCATTTCAAGTGTGCAAACTAGCCACTGTCATTCTTCCTATTGATACTTGCTGTGGGCTGACGGCACTGATAGTTATTTTCATACAGCTGATAACATGTTAGATAAGGGTACAGATGGATAATAGTACAAAGGCATACTGCTATAAAGTGTAGAAACATCATTGATGAAATTCTCTCTGCTCCTGTAGAAACCCTGAGACAACAAAAGACGAAAATATTGACTTATGTTCAAACTACTTAAGAGAAGCTACAGCTAAATTTAACTATTTATTAACCTCTGATTTTTAGGTAATGTTAAAGATATCCTGCCAAGCTATTTTATTCAGATGTTATTCATTTTTACCTCTACTGCATTTGCAAGTTTATTCTGGAAATAAAAGTCAACAGGGGCTGGATGCAGCTATGATATAGATGGGGAGGTGATGGGCAGCATCATGGTCACTTGTCATTTGGCCTGAGCTATACACCACACCAGCAGTTGCTAATTTTGGAATAACTGAGCCACTTTAGCCTCCCTCCCTGCAAACAATCAATTTGTCGACTGATCTATAGCTCTGTAGTGCATTCGTGGCTTTCAGCCTGAATAAGGATGAAGAATCAGGTTCTCACCCACCCACATGAAATCACCATTAAAATACCCTGGCCCAGATCTTCTTGGTGGTAAGTCCTGTTATAACTCTGCTTAAGTCAGATATCCAGTGGAGTTATGCCAATTTGCATCAAATTAAGAGCTCACATGCTAATTGA